CAATTAAATTGTAAATTTTCTTCAACCTCCAACCCTAATTTCGAGCGCACAAAAGTGCGAAAAAATAAAAATCACACCGGATAATTGAAAAAAGTATATATTTTCATACAAAACAAAAGAAATAAACTTTTATCACTAAATTATTCGATTGATAGATATTTAATTGTAATTGGTTGAAATATTAGGTACAATATTTGGGAGAAAATATGATTTCAGATAACTTGATAACGAAATAGCTGAATGGTTTTTTTTCTTCGTAAAATATTTTTTTATGATAAAAAATATAGTTTTTAAATACCACCAAAAATATTAAATTACCTTTATTATCTTTAAAAACTCATGTGGGGTGCATTATTCACGATATATTGTATTCCGAGGATGCAAAGTGCGATTTATTTGTTTCGAGGGTGCAAAGGGCCAAAATGGTGTATTTCAATGGTGCAAAGTGGGATTAAGCCGTAAATCCAAAACTATACATGTAATTTATTTTTTAAGAAAATACTACAGTAGATGATGCTACAGAAAATAGGCATCGAATTAGTATAGTTGGGTCCTGAAACTTATTTGCGTATCTTTCCTATTTATTTTGCTTCATTCTTGTTCACTAACTCGATAACTGCCTCATTATGCAGGGTGCAGTTGAGTCATTGTTGGATAGAAGTTCCCATGTGCAATTGCTTGATGGCTCAGTTGTAGAACTAGATCAAAGTTTAAGGGCAGTTATATTGGAAAGCCTTCACGAACTGTCAAGCAATGCGTTACGAGTTCTGGGTTTTGCATACAAGGACGATTTAACAGAATTTGCTACATATGATGGTGATGAAGACCATCCAGCTCACAAGCTCTTATTGAAACCTGAAACTTATTCTTCAATTGAGAGCAATTTAGTTTTTGTTGGCCTGGCTGGTTTAAGGGTGAGGCTTTTTGTTTATTTTATATTGTTCCCTTCAATTCCACATTGGTTATGACCTTACAGAAATTCTAAATGTATTGTATGAATTTTTCTAATTGTCAAAGGGATCCTCCTCGGAAAGAAGTCCCTCGGGCAATTGAGGATTGCAGAACAGCTGGCATTCGAGTTATGGTAATCACAGGAGATAACAAAGCCACAGCTGAAGCAATTTGTCGTGACATAGGTGTTTTCGGACGTCATGAAAATATCAGTTCAAGGAGCTTAACGGGAAAAGAGTTCATGGAACTCTCAGACAGGACAAGAAAATTATTTAAATCAGGATGGAGGGCTTCTTTTCTCAAGGTGCTGAACCAAGGCACAAACAGGAAATCGTGAGGCTGCTCAAGGATTCTGGTGAAGTGGTAGCAATGACTGGGGACGGAGTGAACGATGCACCCGCCCTGAAGTTGGCCGACATTGGGATTGCGATGGGCATTGCAGGGACAGAGGTGATTATTTTGTCAATATATATTCACTGTGCCATCCTATTTATAATAAATTGATTTCATTCAAAATCTGCTTCTTCATTCTTGTTTTATAATGAACTATCTCATGATATTCTGGTTTATGTGACTGTACCTATCTGAACAGTGTATCAAAGTATTTCTAATATTTTATTCTTGCGTTCCTTCTAGGTTGCAAAGGAAGCTTCTGACATGGTTTTGGCGGATGATAATTTCAGCACAATTGTTTCTGCTGTTGGTGAAGGAAGATCCATTTACAACAACATGAAGGCCTTCATCAGGTCTTATTTTTATACTAGTAGCATTCCATCTTCACTAGCTTATATAATTCGAATTTTATCGATCCTTTTTGACATTTTTATTTCATTATTCACCAACTTTTTCTTAGACGTTTAAGTCCCGTATTATTGAGATTATGACTAATTAGGGTCCAGTTGCTTCAAACTGTGGCTATAAATGATGTATAAATTGTACTTATATTTGTTATTATACCTTGTTACAGATACATGATCTCCTCAAACATTGGCGAGGTTGCCTGCATATTTCTGACCGCTGCTTTAGGCATTCCAGAAGGTTTGATTCCGGTACAGCTTCTGTGGGTTAACTTGGTAACCGATGGACCACCAGCTACTGCTTTGGGATTCAATCCACCGGACAAGGATATCATGAAGAAACCACCTCGAAGAAGTGACGACTCATTGATCAGTCCATGGATTTTATTCCGTTACTTGGTAAAACCTTGTTATTCCCTCATTCCCCTAAAAAAAATTTGAAAATCACTAAATCAAGAAATTCTATTTTTACTAATTTGTTCGTTTCGATTCAGGTTATTGGAGCTTACGTTGGTATTGCAACAGTGGGAATATTCATTATCTGGTACACTCGCTCGTCTTTCCTAGGCATTGACCTCAGTGGAGATGGCCACAGCCTCGTGACATACTCACAGCTCGCTAACTGGGGACAGTGCTCAACGTGGAACAATTTTACCGCTTCGCCCTTCACGGCCGGGAATCAAGAAATCAAATTCGACAATCCGTGCGACTATTTCCAGACTGGAAAAATCAAAGCCATGACTCTGTCACTCTCTGTACTTGTGGCCATCGAGATGTTCAATTCGCTGAATGCACTGTCTGAAGATGGAAGCCTTTTGACCATGCCTCCATGGGTCAACCCATGGCTTCTTCTGGCAATGTCGATCTCGTTCGGGCTGCACTTCTTGATTCTATATGTGCCTTTTCTTGCTCAAATATTCGGCATTGTGCCTCTTAGCCTGAACGAGTGGCTGTTGGTATTGGCTGTGGCTTTGCCCGTGATTTTGATCGATGAGGTACTAAAGTTTGTGGGCAGATGTACGAGTGGGATGCGTTCATCGAGTTCGAAAAGGTCTTTGAAGCACAAGGAAGAGTGAAGAAGACGAAGATAGAATGTTGTAATTGTTTGTGAATGCACCACCGGTCAAAATGGTGGTACATCTATTTATTCCATTCTCGATACTTTAATATAGATATAGAAGATTATGTTGGACTTGGAACGTTCGAGAGCATTTAATATTTAGGATTTGTTTAGTGAGCTGGTTATGGGTAGTTTTGTTCTAACCCCCCCAATTGTTTGCCTGATAATTGTGATCAAAACTCGTTTAACATTTAAGTAAAATTTTGGAGAAACTCTTTTGTATTGTTTTTCGTGTTCGTATCGATCATGTCGAGTATCTTCGCTAATTTACTTGTTAACCCCCCAATTGTTTACCATGGATATATTTGGCTAGAAAGAATCTTAATTCGATATTGATAATTTGAGGTTCCAATAAACACGTTTCAAGAGTGAAAAGTGTTAAAACGGTACATTTCGTTGGTGCAAAGTGAAATTATGCCGCCAAAATATTATTGCAATTTTATAAGTCACACTTATTTTCATTTTTCACCCCTTTTATTCAGCGAAGGAAAAAAACCTACTCTATTTGAGACACCCATACTTTTAATATTTGCAAAATAAACCCAATAACATTTTTTTAAGCAAGCACATACTAAATGATAATTTTTGGGGTTAATTTTCTAAAATTGCAAATCATATAGACATTTTGCCTGTATTATTATATTAATAATACCAATTATTATTCTTTATGAACAATACTCCAAAAAATAAACCGAAATAGATACAGTAAAAATAATAAAAACCCAGTTTAAGATGCAGATTTCAATAACAAAATTGATTCAGAAATAAGCAAAACAGAAACTAAATAAAGTTGTACACAAATCCATAAGCCAGAAAATCAAGATTTCATTAGAACACAAAATCATTACATTTCAAGAACACTATTCTTCATTCCACACACATTCTTTTTTTCTTGACAGCAAGACTTCTCTACTCCCCCAAAATATTAAAGAAAAAAATATATATAATAAACACAAAAGCCAACAACAAAAGAAGAACAGAAAACAACCCCAAATCTAACCGCCAAATCCGTACAAGGTTCTCCCCTGTCTCTTCAGAGCATAAACAACATCCATGGCAGTAACAGTCTTCCTCCTAGCGTGCTCGGTGTACGTCACAGCATCACGGATCACGTTCTCCAAAAAGATCTTGAGGACGCCACGTGTCTCCTCGTAGATCAGCCCGGAGATTCGCTTGACGCCGCCCCTTCTGGCAAGGCGGCGGATGGCGGGCTTGGTGATCCCTTGGATGTTGTCGCGGAGCACCTTTCTGTGCCTCTTTGCGCCGCCCTTGCCCAGCCCCTTTCCTCCTTTGCCTCTTCCAGACATTTTTTTTTTTCTCAGTGTGGATTTTTATCAAACAGTTGGTGGGCGGTGAGATGAATTTCTAATTAACTAATTAATGGAATGAATATATAAGTAGGGTGAGCCGTGTGTAGATGTGTATTTATAAGGGAAAGGGGTTTGGGGGTGGATCCGGGGAATGGTTGTGGAGTGCGCTTTGTAGCGGTTGATTTATTTATCGACGGTTTAGATTGAATGCTCGGTGTTCACCAGGATCGCTGACGTGGCTAGGCTTTTGGGCTTTGAGATTTGTTTTTCCTTTTGGCTCTTAATACATAATGTTTGAAATTTTCGGTTTTAGCGAATTGAGCGGGAACAAATAAATTTGAAAATTCATTTTTTTTTTTCCTTTTAGAACACGAGAACGAGAAGTGACATTCGCACCAATTGTACTACTAATTCCAAAAATAATATTATTTTTTTTTAATCTAAATTACTAAGTATTGTGTTTTGACAATTTATTATGTTGTTAGATATATGTTTATTCTCGCCCATTTAATATTTCGTTATGTCCATATACTATAAATGGTGTACTTCCCATACTAACGGTAAAACGTTTTCATACGATATATGTAACGTGAGTATACATAGATAGATGTGGAAACACGAAATGCTAGAGTTGAGTATGCTTCTTATGCTCGTTAACACACAAGGATTGAATATAAAACAGACTATATGTATTTCATGTACGTACTTACGAGGAAGTCGAAGATTAACTGATTATGTGGGGGTCGTTTCGACGATGATGAATATCGTCTTTTTGAGAAACAATGATGTCGATGATGTGAATCTTCAATATCAAATACATCTTCACTGTCGTATGTACGTCTTCGTAGCTCGTTCCCGAAACATACAGTCTTTCACCCGGGGCTAGATACTAAGGAAACGACGAATTTGGATACGTAGCTCCACACTTTTATGCTACAGTATCAAGAAGCTCATTTAGAGTCACATTATTTTTTATTGCAATGACAAAAAGCTTATGATTCTGGTGGCGACGACATCCTATCACTTCAACCAATGGTTGTTTGACTATCACTTGAAACGTTCATTTTTTTCCTACCACCAGCATTAAGGATTTACAAGCTAAAACCCCTATATTTTACTTATCTTAATATTGGAATAATTCCACTTTGCACTCTTAAATGTAGTGTTTTGGCGCTACACTCTTAAATGTAGTCTTTTGGCATTTTGCATTCTTGAAAATAATTAATAGCAATTTGCACACACAAATTGAATTTTTAAAACTTAATGTGGAAATATTTTTTATTGGTATTTTCATCAGTGTAAAATAAAAAAATAAATTATTATTTAAAAACTATATGTTCTAAAAAATAGAAAACATAAACTTTTCTCACAAAATTATTTAATTGTGCGTTTTTTTTTTATTGTAGTTAGTGAAAATATAATCAAATAACTTAATAACACAATACCTGAAGGATTTTTTTTTTCTTCTAAATTTTGTAAAATACCTTTTAGTAATAAAAAAAATTAAATATGTCGTTGATATGTATTTTTATTTTTGCTCATTGTAGATTCAAAAATTTGATAGATGCAAAAAAAATTGATTTGACATTTTGCATCCTAAGAAAAACCGTGAAAAATATTATTTAGCTTAAAAAAATTAATTTGAGGTGCAATTGTGTATGATTTATTGTGTTTTGTGGGTGAAAAATGCCCTTATTTTAGTTCGAGGGTGCAAAGTGCCAAACGACAGCTTTTCGAGGGTGCAAAGTAGAATTAAACCCTTAATCCTGAAAGCAATATCATATTGACATTTTATTTAAAGATTAATTTTAAACGTTAAAATTATCAGTCTTCCAATTTACCGAAAATTACAGTTAACCCTCGTTACCCTTCCCACACTCCTCCGCCGCCACGGCCACCGCCACCACCGCCGTCATCTCCACCACCGCCGCTACCACCGCCGTCATCTCCACCACCAATGGGTTTCTTCGACTTAAACATCCCTTACCTAGAGTCCGACCGCAACGCCACCGATAAATCCTCCCTAAAAGGCCGCCGCCTGAAGCTCGCCCTCAAATCCATGGAGCTCGGCTACACCGGCGTGGCCTACAACCGCACCCTCAAAGGCGTCATGTCCGAATCCCACCGCTGCTCCACCGCCCTCTTCCCTCTCTCCAAACTCATCCCCACCTCCTCTTATTTCTTCGCCGCCGTCAAACTGCACCGCGACCTCCTAAACGTCGCCGTTTCCGCCCCCTTCCGCCAGTACACCCGCCTCACCGTAATCGTCGATATCGCCTCTCAATCGTCCACTCTCAATGCCGGAAACCCTATCCTCAGAAGCTACGATATAGTTGCCGTTAAGCCCATGAACCAAAACGCCTTCGACCAGGCTTGTCAAACATCAGAGGTTTGTATCCCTTTTTTTTCGAATTTGTTTTTGACCTAATTTTTCATGTTTAGCTGATTGGAGTTTTTTTGGGCAGGTGGATATGATTGCCATTGATTTCTCGGAGAAATTGCCGTTTAAGCTGAAGCAATCGATGGTTAAGGCCGCTATCAAGGTTCTTTTTCTCTTGTTAAATTATCTTCAATCTCATGTTTCGGAAAAAAATTAAGTTAAGTTCGTCATTAGCAACATGTTAATGAAAAAAATGCAATCACGGTAGTTAGCTTTCACGTTGGGTTCGATTTGAGCTATCTGTATGCGAATGTAGAAATGGTAGAGTTGAGTTATGAATTATCATGCTTGAGGATTCCGCATAATATGTCCACTACAATATTTCTTAGGTTGTTTTTTGCTTTGGCTTATAGTACTAAAGCTACTACGAGATAACTCTATTGCGGTGTACACAATGAAATTAGCAAATTCTGAAATGATTTGGAGAGTTTTTGAATTGTTTGAAAACGAGGGGTCATTTTGTAGTCCGTGTTGTTCGGTAAATAACAAAACAATTTGACCTGGTCCAGAATGTTTACGTTGCATTTAAATCTAATATCAGTTGACGGATGAGCGATTTTTAATGTTCTTATAGATATGAAACCGCGACGTCCCTGTTTTTCTATTTTGTTGGATGTCTCGTGTAAATACGGAAAAAAGATATCTACATATTTTGCAAAAGTGTCGAATGAAAGTCATAGGATGATAATTAAGAACTATGTTATTCTCTAGTACATAGAACTCTTAGTTTGTTCGATGGAAAAATGTTAAAGAACGGTACCTTTGGGGCAAGTGACTTAATAATTGATTTTAGAAGTTAAAAATGTGTTTTGCTTGGGTGAATGTTTGAACAATTCCTGATTTTCATCACTTTGGCGCCTTGTAATTTTCCACTCGATTTGGTCGGTTTAGTCATTATAACTTGCATTTTTTCATGTGCAGCGGGGAGTGTACTTCGAAATCACATACTCTGGTCTTATTGCTAATGCACAATCAAGAATACAAATGATATCCAACTGTAAGGTGAGCGAGCATATGGAATTTGTGTAAAAATTCTTCTGCTTTTATATTACTGTGCTATCTAGGTGAGACTGAGAAATCAGATCTATCGAATAAGAACTGAAAATGATTATACGGTGACAAGTGTCTGCTATTTTACATTAAAATCTGCATATGTAGAGTTTAACTTCTTTCGAGTTCTTTAATCATTCCCAATAGCTACACTCTTTCAAGTCGTAGACTTCTGGTTACTGAATTTGTCTCTTATTAATAGTGAGGAAAATGACACCACTTCCCGAAGTTTCTCCTCATAAGTTTTGTCTTATTGGCATAAATTTCGTAAAAGAAATTCATTTTTCTTGCAAGGATAAATTAAGGTCACCTCCGAGATAAGGTCAAATTACGAAACCCCCCTCATATTTTCAACTATAAATCTTCTTATACGTTCACCCTTGTGGTGTCAAATGTAGTTGAATCTTCTAGATTATGTGGAATATTCTCCAGTTTGTACCCATTTTACCCCATTCGAGCTCCACATTTTGAAACAAGATGATCATAAGATGTATCTCTTGGCTTGTAAATAACAGACCGGAACTGCATTTTTGCAGAAAACGAGTACAAATAGTTAATATTACACGGAATCTAGAAGATTATGTTGAATTTGACACCATCAGGGTGGACGTGTAAGAATATTCATAGTTGACGGGGTTGTAATTACCCAAACATGAGGGTTTTTTTCGTAATTTGAATTTTGACCTTTCAGGGGTGACCATAATTTACCCTTCTTGTAATGTGCATTCATTGACTTTTGGATATGTGTCATCTGAATCTGATATCTTCCAACATGCTATCATTTACATGTATGTTTTCAGGTCTCCGGCTTTTAGTTTAACTGTAATCAATCTGGTTTTCTTTCTCCTGAACTTTAAGTTTTTGAAATTTCAAGACCATTAAGTATATGCTTAATTTTCTATTTCACTTTGTTTATTACGCGCTCGACAAATCAGCAAATACGTGTGTTTTGCTCCATCTGTTTTATTTCTGCAAAAACTATTCTAACTGTATAAGTTCCCAGCTTCTTGTTGATTGGACACGAGGGAAGAATCTAGTATTCTCTAGTGCCGCCACGTCAGCAACCGAACTTAGAGGGCCTCAAGATGTTTCGAATCTGTTCTCTCTTATCGGTCTCAACACAGAACGTGCTAAAGCAGCTATTTCCAAAAATTGTAGGTAAACGAACTTGCTGTCACTCATCTTATCCATCGACCCTTTTGTTAATCTTTTCGATGATTATCAATTTACATCAATTCTTTTTTGTCTAGATCCCTCCTGGCTAAAGCATTAAGGAAAAAACATTTTCACAAGGAGGCGGTTAAGGTTGAAGAAGTACGGCCAGGTGGACAAGTGTTCGACGACTGGCTTACATGCGATCCTATTTCCAGCGGTGAAGGAGATATGCTATTAGATGATATGGAGCAGGCTTTTGCGCTTTCCAACACTCTCACACAAACTGTGAAAAAACCCATCGATTTTTCGTCGAATATGAACGGTTTGCCTTCACATGGTTTGCAGATTAAAGACGTAATACCACACGATAGTGATAGCTCCGCACCTATTCCTATGGAGATTGAGAAGAAGGCTGAAGAGCATGATATCCTTAACTCTTTGCCTGAAAATCGAAGCGTATTTAGTACGATGAGCAAAGAGCATGAAAATCGAACTTCAATACCTGATGTCACGGAAGTTTCGTTACAACATGTTCCTGGTTTTGAAGAGGGTCAAAATTCTGGTAATAATGCAAAGATTGGATTTCAGGGTTCTGGTTTTGAATCTTCGGTATTGTCACCTTTGCCCTTGTATAACGACACTTGCACGGATGCTAAAGAAACTGTACCAGTTTCGAGCGTTAAACCGAATCACTCAACCGACTCGGAAGAACCCCCAGGTGCAAGAGTTGATATTATTGAAATTAAAACGCCTATTACTAATGTGGAAAATCAATGTGATTTAGTGGACAAGGTTTCGAACATAATTGATAGTGAAGACAAACAAGAAACAACCTTGGCATCTTGTGTAGATTCTTGTGTGAATGGAGAACAGTGTAGTGAAATAATGGGAGATTGTACTAAGTTAGACTATGGTTCGCCCACTGTGGAATCTTTTAATCCGACAACGAATTTTAACGAATCAATTTCCAACGATGTGATCGGACAGTCGATGCAGATGGATTCTGTCGGTAATTATCAATGCCTTGGTAAATCTCAGGCGGCAGGTATACCTCTGTTTCTGTCCCTTATTGGCTTATTTTTCATCCTCGATTGCGATAATATTAACGTTGTCCCTTTAAGATTAGCATGCATAGACTTTTTCAACTTTATAATGGGGACTAAGTTTTTCAACGTCTTGCAGGAAGAGAGAAGAGAAAACGGAATTCACCTAATAAATCTCTCTTGTTTCCGTTGAAACGTAACTTGAACAACAGGCCATTGAAGAAGAAGTCTCGGAAGTGAAAACCTTCGACTAGTATGTAAGCTCATCATTTAGATTTTTCTGCCCTTTTATTTTATTATTTATTTATTTATTATGCGACAATTGAGGTTTTAGGTACGATTATGCCTTTTAAAATTAGTAATAAGTATAGCTATACTTATATTAGTGATTTATTGTAGATAGGGTCCCAATTTTTCTATTGAGACTGATTTCTCTACAGCCAAAAGTGAAAATCTTGCAACTTCTACTAATTCTTGTTGGAGTACGAGATCAGCTAATGCATAGTACACACGGAAAATTGCTGAAACATTCGGGTATATAAACCCTAATTTTATCGAGGAATAGCCAAAAAGAAAAAAAGAGGGATCTTATGAAGGAACTTTAGTTTAGATGAAATATTAGAATAGTTCGACATCGATTATGGCTCTTCTAACGTCCAAAGGGAGCATTAAGGTACGTTGTATTAAATTCAAATTTATATGATGAGTTTGAAGATTTTATAAAATTATAAGAAACCCCTTGATGAATTAAAGCTAATGCTTTGCATGTGCTAAGGCATTTCTTCTTTAAGGAATATCAAATTGTTAACCTTTTATTTTATATTTTTCTGATAAAAATAGTATGTGTGGCTGCTACTTTCTCTTCCTTTTTTTGCCTTAGAAATTCCCTTTTCCAACATAATAGGGACTCATTAGCATCAGGCTTTTTTACTAGTCATTATAATTATGTTACTTATTAGTAATAATAATAATTATTATTCATTGAGTTGGATCCAACTCAATAATTATAATATTGGCATGCTTTTTTTTTTTTTTTTTTTTTTTTTTTTTTAATTTTTGATTATTATTTTATTTAATTTTAATTTTATTTATTTACTATGTTAATCTTCTTCCTACGATGAAATTACATGTTTGCTCAAATCTTTGGTAGATTAACTTTGCTTGGATTTTGTTTAATTTCTTGAATTCTACTTAGCTATATTATTGTTTAGGGTAAATTGCAACCGTCCCCCTTCAGATAAGTTCTATTACTCGATGTTTCATAATTACATCCACGCCCTCCAATTTGTAGTTTTCTTACATTAACACCTTTTAGTAGGGGTAGATGTAAGAAATTTAAAAAAATGCAGGGGGTTGGATGCACTTTAATAAAAATGGGGGGGAGTTTTTGTAAATAGATTTTACCTCACGAAGGTGGTTGTAATTTACCCTATTGTCTCAGAGTCTGTCAAATTTATCTTGCACTTGGTAAAGTGTACACGAAAAATCACCACCATTCGTTCGTCTACTCGGTCAATACAAATGTGTTTTTTTTGTGTGTGTATGTGATTATGATCATTAAGTATGTTTATTTCAAATGAATTCAACAATCTCTTAACCATTGGTCTTAAAACTGTGTTCTTATTTGATAAGTGAACACATATGCACATATTTGAAACTATATATATATATATATCATTTCTTTCTACTGCCCAATATTCTTCTCCATATGGCGACTATAAAATAAATTAATTTATTAATATGTGCAAATTTAATATATATTTCTATAAATTTAATTTGAATATCTTGTAAATATTGAAAATGTTATAACACTTGAGGTGAGGTCTATTTACGAAAACTACTTATTTTCCCATAATTACATCCACCCTTGCAATTAGCTCATCTCTTACATTAACAGTCTCTTGTAGGTCGTTGCATGTAAGAAATTTACAAATTGTAGGGTAGCTGGATGTAATTTCTTGACAACAAGAGTTTTTTTTTTTTTTTTTTTTTTTCAATAATTATACTTTACCTCGTGGAGGTGATTGCAATTAACCCTTTTTCAAATAAGTTTGTAAGTAAGATTTGATTTTGTAAACACGATGATTCATAGTTATAGTGGTTAACCCACCGCCGGCCGACAAGAAACAAACAGGCCGGCCTCCCATTTATAGGGTATTATTACTCTTTATTTAAATTAATTAATTAAATAAATAAATACTTAAAAAAGAAAAGAAAACCAGATTCAGATTCTCCAAGTCAAATACTTAGTAGTGGGCTTTAGCTCTAATCAATATTATATTCTGAAATCAATGATTTCAGTAACGTGAAAAACCAAATGATTAATGTAAAGAGATTTTGTGCAATTTCTTGCTTTTCTTGCAATTTAGAATTATAATAATTGTATTATGGCTCCTAAAGCCAAACATGCCCTTTTTTTAATTTATTAATAATACTTGTAAAGCATGTAATGCATTTTGTAGCCTATAAACTTTTATTTAATAATAATAATAATAATAATTTAATTATACGAATCATATTAATCATGAGATGGTTTTCCCGTGTTTGTGGGGCAAGGCAATACCTCAAGCCGAACTCGGTTCATTTCGAGGATTTGAGTTCGAGTTAATCGAGCTTAATCTTACAAGTAGTGCATACACACATTTTGCAAATAGTGTACATATTTTGCATGATTTTAAATATGTATTTACTTGTTATTATGTGCAGATCTATGGTTATACCAAGTTGAGAAAATTTTGAAATAGTCTTGTCAGTACTATGACTAACACTCAAACTATCTAATCAATCATATAAATATGGGCACCAATTATTTTATTCCCCATTCATTATATACTTCCACTCATTACTACACTTACCATAGCTTAGACTAGTAGCCTTTTGATCTTCATTTCACTACAATACCACCACTTAAAATCTTCTTTCTCATTTTTTTTTCTTTTTTTTTTTAAATAAATTTTTTAGTGCATTAATTTTTCCACAAAATTTTCATCATACACAAATTTATATGCTCATCTACAAGTTTCTTTGAAATAGTGAATAATTACTGTAGGAAATGATATTTGCCTGCCTATATATATTGGAGTGCTTAATTCTGTTAAAAACCACACTCTTCCACACTTGACCTTTTTTTGCATATCTACCCACCACTTTCAAATCCCTAATTTATAGGGAAAAAGTGAGTTAAGTGGACTAGGAACTCGTCAAATCTATCTTCGCCTCGATCACTCAAATGTAACAGTGTTGGGTGAAAGACTCGTGATTCATCTCACGCACCAACTCTGAACGAGCGTGTGTTTTTGTGCATGAATGAATGAATAGTAATAGCGTACTTAGGCCTCGTTTGGCTGGTAAAATTAGGCATACTTAATTAGATATTTGGACAATAATGGACGTTTGGTTCATCCTTTATCTTTTCGAACCGGCCCATAATTATGGATTTTAATAAGATAATTAACTTTATCTTGATAACCAAACGAGACCTTAGTGTACTTCAGCTCGTGTAGTATGGAATAACATACTAATAGGATTTTGCCACTATTACGTCGATACCTTAGAATTAGATGATTTTTTTTTCTCATAAGATATCGTTTCATTAATTAATAACAACAATTCTTACAAATACTTAATAGAGTAATATTAAAAGGCATTAATCATGATCCTAGAATACTGCATCTAAGGCATTAGGTTTGCTGAAAATGCATCAAGAAAATGGATCCAATTATCATCGTCCTCGTCGTCGTATTCCTCGATCCCTGTTTGATCCCATTGGCTCTGAGGAATGTTCTTCTCGATTTCGTCATTCCTCGCGAATCGTCCCCTTATGCGGGGCCGACTATCCGCCAAAGTCTTCCTACACTCGTACTGCTCAATTGGAAAGAAAATTATTATTAGGAAAAAATATAATTATATAGTTGTGGTGACAAAGTTTTTAAGGAAAATAAGTTATAATTAGACCTTGATTTTCTTGTTGAAATTCCTTAGGTTTCTCTTGCTTCTGTATCTCTCGATTCTCTCCCTTTTCTCCTCCGGACTGTACGGATTGGCTCTGTTCATGCTCTCGATTATACTGCTCTCTGTCGCGGCCGACGAAATGCTCGACCGTTGATTATGTTGTTGTGCTAAGTTCACCACCTATTTTGGGAAACATTAATTAATTTATAGAACGAAATATTTATATATAAAGAATGTAATATAATATATGAAATTCGTTTATGCATGGAAAAGATCATTTCGATTTGCATGGCCAAAAAAAAAAACCGATTTTTTTTTTACCTGCAAATCGCCGGTGCTCATTGCCTTCCTGACGGAGGTGGCGGTCTCGGCTTCGAAATATCTTGGCGACAACGATGAATGCATGGGGGAGTTATAAATTTCGGGGTTTTTGTGAAGAGAGTGGCTGCTGATGCTCCTTTGAATGATGGTGGCGGTGGGGCTGTAAGCCCCGCCGCCTCCATAGCTGGTAGGGCTGTAGGCCCCGCCGCCGCCGTAGCTGGTGGGGGACCCGCCGTAGCTGCTACAGCAGCTGCTGGCATACCCCAATTCCGACCGAAGTGCCGCCACTGGGTCGTGGTGGTAGCCGGTCGGGATATCCAGCGGCGGTGGCGGTGACGGGAATGCGGCGGCGGTGGATTCCGGTATGGTTAGTGGGAAATGGGGTTGGAATTGTGAGGTATATTCGTAGGGAAGTTCATTCCTATTGTTTCCAAACATGTTCATGTAGTGTAAGAGGCCTGGGGTTTTGGCAGAGGTTTTGTGTGTGTGTGTGTGAGAGAGAAAGTTAGAGAGAGAAAGGAATAAAGGGGAAAGTGAAATGGGAAAGGGAGTTGAATTGAGAAAAAAACCAAAGAGCACATGGAGGCTTCTTAAAGGGGGAGGGGGGGGGGGGGAGTGGACAAGCTGGAGGGTGACGTGGACGATGACGTCATCTTCCCGGAGGAGGGAGGCGTTGACTTGCAAATGTTGCATGGGGGTGGGGGGGTTACTTATTACTTTGGCCTACCTGCACTAGTGAGAAGATCAGTAATTTCTTGATGGGATATATTGCATTACTTAGTTTTGATGGAGATATACATATATCATATCACACACCACTTTATGTATGTATATCAGTATATGCCATCAATTTTGAGGATTTTTTTTTTTTTAAAATGTAAAACATGTGAAAATTAAGTTAAACAACCCCTACATCAAAATGCTTAAAGGTTGGAATAATTTTATTTATTTTTTATTTTATTTTTTTTTTTTTTTTTTAACTTTGAGTCCTTGTTTTAGAAAATGCAGTTCAAGCGACTATTATGTGGAGCAATTCGTAGAAGTCGATACCATCTTGTGTTTTTAGTTTGTTATTCTTAGTCAAAACGTGCGATGGTAGTCACGGCACGACAAAATCATTCTATTAGATCGAACGTAATTGATAAATTACGTGTTTATATTTTTAATATTTACTTATCATTTAGACAATATCACTCACATCTTCTATTTTGTGCGCTCTATACATCTGGTGTACTGGAAATACACTACTCTCGTGCAACAATCCACAAACCATACGAGAGGTATAAACTGCACTGAACAATCTCTAACATGCACATTGATTGAATTCGCCAATATAAATATATGTTAGTAAGAATTAAAGGAAGATATAAAACACACAACATTCAAAATTAGTCAACCAAGGTTGGATATATGTGCTTATGAGCAATTCAAAAATTTCAATGTGGTCCAATATGTATATATGTATAGATTTGTTTGCAGGTTGTTATATTACACTCATAATATGGATTCGTATCCCCCTACTTGCAATTTGAGATATGTATAGAATGTCCCCACCACTTAAGTTTATTTTAAGAATATATATTTTAATGAATACCCATGTGGGAGGCATAATATATATAAACCATAATTCAATCATTAATTAGCCTTAGGGTTTAGGGTTGATCAAGGTCGGCTAATCATTATTAGAGTGACATAAGACTGATTAGTGATTAACTAAACACCATTACTATCTTAATTTTAGGTATAATGATGTGGTCTTATTGTAGGGGAAGAAGGTGGCCCCAAGATTTCCTTTTTTTTTTTTGCAATATTATATAAATATGTGTTTTTGCTGCATAATTTTTATATATTCAATTTTTTTAATTACAACATAAAATAATTATACTCAAAATTTAACTAATTTAATTAAAATTTTGTAAATATTGCTTATTTTTAGCATTTTTTCACGAATAATTCAAAATCTCAATTTTTTTTTTCTTCTTATATTGGGTTGTAGTATTCTGAGGAAATTCTTCCTCGGCTGGATGTTATGGTTCCTCTTCTCACTAATGGAGCCATGATTTTAAATCTGATCAGGGGCTGAAGTATTAAAAAAATTCCAGTGGAGAGGGGCGTAAATATTATTATAAGTTTTAACATTTTTAAAATAAATAATAGAAATTTAAGAAATGTTGGGGGGCCATGGCCCCGACCTTATGCTAGCTCCACCAGTGCCTCGTGTCTATGTGAGTGTTTGAATCTCTTGTATTATGATGAATATTTTGAACACAAATATATAAATATACATGCACCATTTACGTATAGTCACTTGAGGGGGTGGGGGTGGGGGGTGGGGTGCATAGGTAGGTAGGTCCAGGGAGGATCTTGCATATCACTTCAAAAGTGTATAATTGCACGCTCAGTGTGTGTGTCAAAATTCATGAAGTTGCTGCTCAAAATTATTGCCCTTTCTGACTTATTTTGTTTCTCACATATATATAAAGTCACTGACAAATGTATTTTATTTTAATTTTAATTTTTTTTGCTGGACGTTTCGTTATTCGGTTGGTCAAAAAATCAATATTCGGTAAATAATTTGTTAGATTCTAACACCTCTGTCACAGAATCAACATTATGTATGTATATATTGGTGGCATGTGTATATATAATTGTGTGCAAATTACATGAATTGTCACCTCATATGTATATATAGTGCTTTGTGGGTTTAATTATTCCTATATATATAGGGGCATTGAAAATTGAAATGGAGAGGTTGTACCTCAAGGTACGTTTCGTTCCTCCGTTGGTTACATTTTTTTTGTTTTTTTTTTTATTCTTACTAAATAAATATATACATAAAAATACATTTATAAATAAATTAAAATTATATATAATATTTAACAATTGTAATAATTAAAAAAAAAAGGTAGCATAGTTATGTTTAGTTGGGTCGAATTGGTGTACTATTAATTGGATTGAATTCACACATCGTGCTCTTAAAAAGCCTTTTTATATATATATTTTTGTTAAAAATCTTACAATAAATTGATGGACTTTGCCAAAATTTAAAAAAGTAGGGGTGCAAATATCTAATTAATGCCAATTATGGGGTTCGTAATGCAATTCACCTTAATGTTATGCATACACTTCTAGAAGAAGTATTTGTGGCAAAAAACATTCCGTTGAGAATTATTCATTGGTGCTGAGAATGAATATGGAAAAACAAAGAATTAAGGACGACTCCATGTTAAAGTACTTCTCATTTAGTCAAAAGTTGCACGACCGTAAATACATTTCCCAATGTTCAATTATGGCAATACTCGGTTTATCCAATGTATTTATATGGTTGGCTACAAGTTTCTTTGTTACCGAAAAAAAAAAAAATATAGCTAGACTCGACTGATCTATTAGCACAATAGTAGTATATTCATCATTTTTTTATTTTTTATTTTCTTTATGTCATGTTAACTTAATATCCTAACAAGTTTTGCAAAATTGTCAAGGTTTTCTTCATCAACATCTTTACTTAAATCCATTTTAAATTTGATGAACTTTATCAAGCAAAAATATTTTGAAGGGCAGAGGGGTTTCAGTATAAAGAAGCATTTGCAGTCTATCCCATAATTCTTTTGCAGAAACATGATACCCTAGTTTTCTAATCGCGAAGTCGGATAAGTTTATAATAATCAAGAAATAAGCAAGTTTATTAAGTTCAGTTTTCGTAACTGCATCGACAACGGCTTCATATAAAAGAGTTATGCCTTTAAAACATTTTTGTATTACCTAAATACCCTTCATTTTTTATTGACACAGAGAAATCAATTTTCCGTCAAAAGGAGCTACAACATAAGAATAAGAAGTATGAAAGACGAAGAGAGAAAAATAATATAATAAAGTGGGCCATGATGAATGAAGGATGATATGACTATTAATGGGCCCAAAACTGAAAGTCCAATTTAGACTCTGCTTTAAGGCCGAAAGGGAAAAAAGCAAGCAGTTGAGCTCAAGTGTTCATCTATCTTGCCTCTTGGTAAAAAGTGCAATTTCTACCAACACATAAAAAAAACACCGAAGAAACGAAAGCCAACTATATAAACAATAAATAATACGTGCACTTGTTAAATTTATATTCTCGTATTCTGGGGCCAAATCTTGATTTGTGTGTCAACACCACCGATGTACAAACTGTGTCTAGTGAAACGATACATATGTTCGAATATCCACGGTTAGCTAGCTAGTCGAGTTTTTTTGTCATCTCTCTCTCTCTCTCTCTCTTCTGAATTTCTCTCTCTTCTGAATAGTTGAGTTTAAGCATTTCATAAGTTTAAAAAACATGTTTGTAGGCATGATTAGTAATTAGTCAACGAGAAGTGCCACATATTGACTTTCTCAGTGGATTTCAATATCAACTTGACAACATATTTTTTTTTTGCAGTTCATTAGCAATATTTGTAAATAAAATGAACTTCAAATTTCAACAAGTACAAGATAAGGGAAATCGAGCACTATAGTCGTTTTCATTTGTACATTTTTTTCTCCTTTGAGATCACAAACAAACCCAAATCCTCTACCTAAATATTAGGCTTTTCTGTTTTAAGTCAACACCAGTCCAATCAATGTCAAAAGTCAATGCTAACTTACACTTTTTCATTTATTTATTTTCCAAACATTTTATTTTCAATAATTACATTATTTCAATAACAGTATCACATTAACTATTTTTACTATTAATAGGATATTACCAATAAAGGATTCCTTACATTTTGAAAACACTTTGAAAATTGTGCTGATATGGAAATACTATAATAATTATTAATTTTTTTTTTTGGCAGAATAAAAGCTTATTTCATCTAACAGAAACAAAACATTCTGCAAGCATTACTATAACTTAGGTAAAAAGAATTTATATATATACCATTACCTTTGTTTTTCATTGAACAATTTCATTGTTGAACTAACTATAGAGCTTTCACATGCCCGAACGAACCTTCCCCATCATGCCTGCAAAATAAGGCAATCTTGGATGACTATTCGGCAAACCTCAGACTAATGCAATAAACATTCTAAAATCATAATAAATTACCTCAACAACGTTGGTGGTTCTCCATCAAACGCGTCATCAAACACTTCATTAGCAGAATTATCTCTGCAGAACAACTTATTTTCTTCCGACATTTTCAACGCTGGTGCGGAATCAGGGTGCATACCGTATTGATCAGATTCATGGCTAGTTTCTGCATTGTCCTCCATTTGATAATCATGCTCCGATCTCTTATCATCGTTATCCGCACCCAACGCCTCGACATTCAAATCGGAAACCAAATCGAAACCCGATTGCCCCACAGAACCAGCGGGGTAAGCAACGGTGACATCACCAGTTTCAGAAAGCTCGCTTTCTTTCTTCTGCCTCCTCCCTTTCTTCGTGGATGAAGTTCCGTCATCCTCAAAATCCTCTTCCTCTCTCTCTCTATGCAAGTAAACCCACAACTTTCTCTCTCCATCGAATTGCACACAAGGGTCACGCTCGTAATGTAGACGATCCAACGCCCCACTAACCACCTGATTGACCTGTGCATCGGAGACATCTTCCACAACGTACTGCGAGTCTCTAATTAACGTACACAC